ATTTCTTGGGGTTCTAGGTATTTCGGATCATCTTGATCTGAATTGTATTCCTCGTCGAGACGCTCTTCTTCTGCGATTTGAGCAGCAAGATTGAAGTCGGCCCGAATTTCCTCGTCGGTCTCTTCATCCTCTTCTTCATTATCTTCACCTTCCCCAAGCCCTTACGATTCCTCTTCATTGCCTTCATTACCGATGCTTTCACCCCCACTTCCTTGCCGTTCCAGGCTATCCTCAACTGACCGGATATATTCTTCTCTAATATCCGAAGCTTCATGCCCAGGATCAACATCTTATTCCTCACCAGAGCGTCTACTGCTCTCACCAACCTCAGGTTGGTAACTGGTGTGTTTCGTTCTCGGCATCCTGTCAATATTAGTGCCGTATTGATTAAACAAATCCAAGTTTGATCTCAAATGATAACGAACGCTAATAGGCTTAACGTCAGCAATCTCTGTGTCCTCTGGGATATCGGGGTTGGTAGGACGCAAAGCCTTCTCGGCATCAGCCAGAAACTTATGACGGTAATAAGCTTCTCTTTCTTCCATTGAAGATAAGGGTGTAAAGGGTTCAGCCTCATTGGCTTTACCCGTATTCGCATGCATTCCAGAACCAGACATTTACATATAATGAAATAAAACGCAAAAACTACTTAACCACAAACCAGTGAGAAATCGAAAAGAAAGTTAGGGTTTGTTACCTCTTTTGAACTCAACTCTTGAAGGCGTAACACCGGAATTAAATGTCCTTCGTTTATAGAAGCTGGTCTAAAAACAACTGCACAAACCTTCGAGAAATCGACTTCTGAATCGCAGAAATATGTGCGAACTACAAGCGAAATGAAATGGAAATTTTTCGAAATTTTTTTCGCAAAGACAGATGAAGGGGTTAAAAGTTTGAAATTTGTTATTTATATTGTCCAAGTGAAGCGGTTGATGTGACATTTACTGCATGCAATCCAACGGATGTAATAAAACGCCTTTTCAAAACACCCTACTTCGATGACTGACACGTGCCCCTTACTTTATTACATTTTCCCGCCAAATCCTGGGGAAAAATTTCAAATGAGGGTGAAAACGTATTCACTCCTATTTCCGGTTTTCGTTTTAAACTGCGCAAAGCCTATCGGCAATTCGCTCACTTGGGGGGCAAATCGTAGATTTTTTCAACTTTAAACTGAGCAAAGCCTATCAGCAATTCGCTTACTTGGGGGGCAAATCGTATATTTTTTCAACTTTTAACTGAGCAAAGCCTATCGGAAATTCACTCACTTGGGGGGAAAATCGAATATTTTCTCATTATTTTCTTATTGTCTCTTATGCAAAACATCACAAGGTTCCATCACAAGTGAGCACGTTAGTTTTACTAACATCCTCACTTGGGGGGCTAGTTATACGGGATATATCAGTAGCAACCTTGATAAGCCGGTAGCATCCTTGATAAGCCGGTAAAAGAGTGTTGTGCAGTTTAAGCCCTCATTAATCGGCGAATAAACCATGGTCCTTACCGGCATTACTCTATGCCACGTGGAGAGCTGCTTCTCGTCACATAGCATGTCTCTCTGGCACGTGGAGAGTTGCTTGGGGCCACGTAGGCACCTGCTGCCTATAAGGTCGGTGTGCCACCTATCTGTATAGGTGGCACCTGCTTGGTTGTGTTTCTATAAATACCCAAGCAAATCCCCATTTTAAAGGTAGAATCTCTCTCTCTAAAAACCCTTTCTCTCTTTTCTTTCTCTTTCTTCTCACAAAGGTAATGACTTTAGCATCGGAGTGGTTATTCCTGGATAACCCCCGGCTAGCTAATCTGTATTGGCTGTGTAGGTGTGCAATTGGACAGTAAACCATTACCAGCCCTCGGACACTGACGGAAGCAGAATTCAGCAGGAACACTAATTAATCTTTATTAGCATGGAAACGTTGAGGTATCAAAAATGCAAGAACCGCAAGTTTCAAAAGTTTTCGTGCTGCTTAGGTGAGGTCCATTCATTGTATGGTAGTTAAATTACCATTCGTCAGCAAAATTAGAAATTAAACAGGTTAGAATTTGGGAATTCTATAGTACAAGAACTAATAAGCTAACAGATGTCAGGTGCTGAATTAAAGTACATGTACCATACATAGCCTACATAGGGATGACAATCTAGTCCGGATCCGACCCTACTCCGCCCCGATCCGAGGTAAAATATCCGCTCCAAGTCCGAGAAAAAAGTAATCCGAGTTCGGCTCCGTTAAAATAGTCCGACTCCGAGTCGGAGGAGGGTCGGAGTCGGATCCTACAAAAAATCCGAGAAAAAAATTCGACTCCGACAAATGTCCGACTTTAACGGATTATCCGACTCCGACTCCAATAGATAGTGGATTTTTGTGTGGATCATGGTGGCATTGGGTGTGGGTTGTAAAGGCCCAAATAACCCAATATCTCAAAGTATATTGAATAATGAAAAAAAAGCTCAAAGTCAGAGTCGGAGGTCGGATATTGAAGTCGGAGTCGGATGTCGAAGTCAGAGTTGGAGTTGGATTTAACATCCGACTTCCTGTCGGGTCGGAGTCGGATTTAGCATAATCCGCTACGAGTCCGACCCGGTGCCATCCCTAAGCCTACATAGGTAGATCGAGCTGAGTGTACGTAAAAGACCTTCGATTAATGAAAGTAATGAGCCATTACGTCATTATATGCTCTACTATGTGAGCCTATATGGTTAGTTGTGCTACAAGCCAAGGATACTCGCATTTGAACTTGTAGTATTTCATCATCATCATACTTCTTTTTCCCAACTAGCCAACTACTACTACATCGTTGGAGTTATTCAAATAAGCTTGTTATTTTACAACATTCACTAAGGTCTTGTTCTTTTGAGCTTTTGGGCAGAGTAGGGGTTAACATAGGGGTTAGCATAGCAGAGCAGAGCTTCCAACACTGTAGAGCAGATCAGATTTCAGCAGAACAGCTCAAAAGAATAAGGCCTAAATTTAAAGTGTGTGCACCTAATATAATCCTAATAAAAAATTTTCTAACATTATTTAGCAACGACAATTTTATTTCCTTTTTTGTGTAAAAAAAAGACAAATGACAAATCCTATACTATGCACAATCATTTATCAAGAAATAAATATACAAGAAATGCTTGTGTGAATATTTTATCAAGGAGAAACAATCACAAAGCACCTCATATCTTTTGATATTCATTTTTCAAAAGAAAACCGTAAAATTTTCTATTTATCAAGGAGAAACAATTGTACTTTATCATATGATAAGACTTAACCATAAAATTTAACATCATCCCTAAATTTAAAACCAATTAACTTGATTTTGATGTAGCTTTTGAGTTTTAATAATTATGGTGTCAAGATTTTTATTTTATTTTTTTTAAAAGAAGCTCAAAAGAGCAGGATTAGAATTAATTAAACGAGATCAAACTCCGCCAAGGCAACAAGGCCCTGCGGAAAGTCAATTACAAACACTTGCTCATCAACCTGGCAGCCATATGAGCTACACAGTTCCCCCCTCTTTTAACATGATTACACGAGAAAAACGAGAACTCCCTACTCAACACAGCAATGTCCTAAAAAATCAGATCTATAGAGGCACGACCACTACGATTGTTGTTGATGGCGTTAACAACAGTAGACGCATCACATTCAAGCTCCACCCTATCAAAGCCCAATCTCCTAGCTACAGACACCCCCAATCTGGAAGCCAATGCTTCAGCCATAGAAACCTGCATCTGAGCCTGCAATCTACGCACAATCATAGCAAGAATCGCACCACGCCAGTCCCTAATAACAGCAGCCAACCCAACACCCCGCCCATCGAACACAGCAGCATCTAAAATAATACGAGCCACACCCGCAGCAGGAAGGACCCAAGAACTTCTAGAGACACCACCAGCACGACCCATCACACAAGACACTGCCTTCATATGTCCAGAATAATCATGAAAAAGCTTGACAAAACCCAACACACCAACCTCTCCGTTCTGCCACGGCTCCTCAAACACGATAGAGTTCCTGTAAGCTCAAGCAGCCCATGCCAGCGACACAAAGAGCAAAAAATCATCATGAATAACCTTCGAATGAAACCAGAACAGTCTCTCCTTAAAGGAAACAGACGGAGTATCCACCAACAAACCAGCAAAGGGAGATAACTCCCAAATTCCCCTAACCTTCGAACAAAGAAAAATGGCATGAATAATGCTCTCCTCCTCGCAGCAACATATTTTGCACAGCCCATCACTTCGAATGTGTCTCTGATGGAGTCTACCAAAAGTAGCAAGGGAACCAGAGCAAGCTCTCCACAAAAAAATTACGAAGTTTAGGTGGTCCTTTCAACCCCCACACAATCTTCCATATCTCAGAGGTTTCCCCACCAAACAGAGAATTCCAGACCCTCACATGGCTCAATCTTCCAACAAGATACCCAGACTTGGTAGTGTAGATACCATCAGCCGTAGCTCCCCAAAATATAGTTGGCCTTTGTTATCGTACAAAAAATTGACTCTAAATTTGTACTAAATTTCACATGGGCCAATACTAGTTGGCCTTTGTTAGCATACAAAATGTGTTTTGGGATGCGTAATTTCATCCTTGTTGCAATATTAATAGAACGGAGGAAGTATACGTTACTACGCAAATTAAATCAAATTACTAGTATACTCTTAAGATTATAACAAAGTATTACGGAGTAATGATTTAGCATGTTGAAGTAATGCACTAATGCAGCTCACATATTATTAAGGCCTAGTGCTGTGAAATTTTTTAGATAACCAATTTTTGCATCTACCAAGTGATTATCATATTGATGCCTAATGAAGCTAACTAACTCGGGAATGCAAGTTATGCAACATAATAGATGTGCTTCGCATATTGTTGTGATACGCAAAGCTAATCAAAAGAGATAAATTTCGTAAATTACAACTAGTATCGTCCTGTAAATACGATAGATAAAATGTTTGGTTGATCCTTAGGGTTCTCAACCCTCGTAAAATAGATAGAGAGAAGGGAAGAATGAATGTGCCTACTATTAAGTTTTCTAAGCTCATCAATGGTCAATACAACCAAACACATCAAACTTAAGCTTGGAACAAATTATATAATTACATTTCCCAACTGCTCACATAACCTCAAAATTTTCTTTCCATACATTACAAGGTAACAATTAACAAACCCACCTAATTGGGCTAATTCTAAACCTTATACATTCCATCATATATTCCTTTTTACAGATTGAATTACATTCTATTGACATCAATCACAATTCTTTTTTCTTCCTCACTCTAAAGCTTTTGCTACTTGAGTGAAAGAAGGTGAGACAGGGAAGCTAACTACTTAAACTAAAGGGTGTCGATTTTGGGTCAGGATCCTCTCTAGTAACCACACAGTCCATTTACTAGAGTAATCGGAAGTAGGGTTTTGAAACTACATTTTCTTACCTCTTGATATAGTACTTCGATAGTTGGATGGTCCGATTACTAGAGAGAATCCTCAGGCATGATTACAATGGCACTTCACTCGCATTTTGGTTTAGTACTCCGGATCACTACAAGAGAGAAAGCCATGATAAATATGCGTGCATTGAGCAAATCCATGTCGTATCATCTTGGACCAGAAAGCTCCATAGCTTCAACCACAAGTGAAGATTCTTCTATATAGTCTGAGTACCGCTGTGGCTCGCTGGACCTTGACCTAGGAGTTTCGATTCTCTGTGAAGCCTCCCATTTCTCGGTTAACCCATCATCCTCCAACATCCTTAAGACTTCAGACATTTTTGGACGATGAATTGGATTAAATTGTGTACATAAAAGAGCTACCTGTACCATTTCTCCTAATTCAACCCTGTCATAGTCGTTCTTTAAGTCCCTATCGACTAACTGGTTTAGCTTCCCCTCATTGTGCAACTTCTTTACCTGCAGCATTTCAGTTAACATGTAAGCAATGAAACAAAGATGCTCCAAAAGCGAGTTCATAAGCTTAGCCCAGAAAGACTAACTTTTAGCACTCGTGCATGTAATCCATATTATAAACAATATCACAAAACTATGCATTTTGGTTTCGTTCTTAACTTATTGAGACCTGTCTAACCTCCACTTTAAATTGATTGATTGCCGTTTAACACTAACTATAAATAAGTTGAGGGGAGGGAAAGAAAATAAAAAAGATTACCCAGTCAAGCATAACGCCTTTCTGATTAGATGCTCGGCCAAAATCCAAGGCTTTTTCCCCAGTGATCAGCTCAAGGAGCAATATTCCATACCCAAATACGTCAGTTTTCTCAGATGACTGGCCAGTACAGAGATATTCTGGAGCAATATGTCCAACAGTGCCACGAACTGCTGTTGTAACATGGGACTCTCGGTGATCCAAAAGCTTTGCAAGCCCAAAATCACCAACGACTGCCTCAAAGTCTTCATCAAGCAGAATGTTAGCTGCCTTGACATCTCGGTGAATAATTTTAGGGTCACACTGCTCATGCAAATACAGCAGCCCCCTTGCTGTGCCTAAAGCAATGCTCCTACGCCTTGACCAATCTAAGACAGGTCTACCATGAATAAAATCTGCATCAAATAATATACTCGTCAATTCGTCATTATACAAATATATACAGTTATTGGGTGATAATTTGCAGAACAAAACTTATGATTAATCGAAAAATTGGAGCTTATGATAGCATCATGTAACTTAGCATTAGAATACGCTTGAGATATTTGTTACAAGGTGCTAGTTTGTTAAAGGTTAATGAAATGGAATTTTCAAATCAAGGGATAGGTACATATACAAATAGTAAAAATAGACATTTCTAAAAAGAATTCGAAGCATTTGGCATATATGGATAGACAAGTAGTAAGAAACTTGCCTTTAAGGCGAGATGCCACGCTACCATTTGGCATATATGGATAGACAAGAAGTCGTTCATTCTCAGTTGAACAGAAACCACAAAGTCGAAGCAGATTCCGATGAACAGCTAGACTAATAGTCTCAACTTCTGTCTGAAACTGAATTTCCCCTGCAGTCACGTTATAATCCTTTAACCTTTTCACAGCTACTAGTGTGCCATCATTAAGGCTGCCTTTGTACACTATGCCAAATCCACCTCTTCCAAGTATATTTTTCGAGCTAAAGTGGTTAGTCGCAGAACGCAACTCTTTGAAACTATACCTCTTCAAATGGCCAAGACAAACCTCTGGATCATATTGTTCTGCCAATCAAGATATAATCAGCTGAATGTAGGGTGTAACAGTTAGGACAATAATGTACAGAAACTCTAAATAAATCATTTAAGTTTATACATTGAGGAAAACCAATGATGAAATTTCTTTTTGTGCTAGTCAGATGGCAGAATCTTATGACGCCAGTACCATGAAAACTAAATTTTCTCCATACATAATGTAAGTAATTTTACTTAGTTTTGTATTCCTCTCAACTTCTATCAATGTGAAGATACATTCACTCCAGTACCAAGAATGATGTTTAAAACAGCAAGAATTTGCTTGAAACTCAAGGAAAGGGTTTAAAAGAACAGATGAGTGGACAAACCATTCACATCAAAGAATATTTGTCTTTTGCGACCATAACACCACCAAATGCCCAGCCCAATGATGCCTATGGTCAAAAGAGCAGCCCCAAAGCTTGCACCAATTGCTACAGCAGCACGGTGACTTTTCCATCCAGAAGAATTTGGTTGATCTGGAAAATCATAAAGCAGACAAGATTTGACTATACATCTTTTGAGTTAAAAAAGGAAAGAATATAAAAGCACCCAAAATAGTAAAAGAGAACATTTCGCTTAGTTGCACCTTTTGACAATAAACAGAAGGGTATAAATTCTTTGAATAGATACCTCTAAGAGAATCTGGTGGAAAGGAAAGTGGTTCAGGAGATACCACAGAGCAGTTGGTACTAGAACTTGTTCCACAAATTAAAGGGTTGCCAATTATCCTGAAAGGAATAATGAACAAGTGAAAACTTTTCCAATAAAATTCCTGTAATGCAGAAAGCTATAGTATCATATACAGGTATGTGTGCAACTGCCATGCTCTGCTAATTTAAGGGGGAAAAAATCATGTTTTTTCTGTTCAATATAAAGTTTCAAGAGTCCATATTCATGTTAGGGTGTCAAATATCCGACGTGAGTACTTAAGATAAAATGATAAATCAGAGTATCAATGACAGAAAGTGATAATGCGACACAGCCGAGCATAAAAAGGACTTACTTGAAGGTTCTGGTGGATATCTTCGGCAAGGAACCACTTAAATTGTTGAATGAGAGGTCTCTGCAAACAATTGTTTCATACAAAATGATGATTCCAGGTTTCCAACCAAAAGATGCTCATGCTATCTCTAACAAAAATTGGCAAGCTTTAACAACTATGAAATTCAAATTTTCAAAAGTGAACTTACACAAGGGTTAGCCCTTCAATTTTTGAAAGAGAATCAGGGCAAGGTCCAGTAAGGCTGTTGTTATTCAATCGTCTGGCTTGTACAGAGAAAGCAAAACAACAGAAATCATCAATTCTCAGATTATCTGCAGCTCGAAATCAGAAGGATAAAATTAACAGAACCATTTGTACTAGACCCTAACTATTCATGCTGTACTATTTCAAATTCTGACCTAAAATTGTCCTAGCATATTGAAGAAATGGAACAACTTACAAGTAATTTAGATTCCTCAAATTTCCTAATGAACTCGGTATCTCTCCTGTGAACTCATTGTTTGAAAGATCTAAAGTCTGAAGCATTTCCAACCTTCCAATCTCAGCAGGAATATGACCTGTTATTGCATTGTTTTGCAGCAACCTACACGAGGCCACAACGATAAACAACCATACTCACCAAATTACATAAACCGAGGTAACGAGGTTTTGAAGTAGAATATAGCATTCTGAAAATTCTTACACTGACTCCAACTTAGTAAGGTTCTGAATTGAAGGAGATAACACCCCAGATAAACTCTGACTAGGCAGTCCCCTAACAAACATGTTCAATAACATAACTCAGAAAAACTCATTCCAAAATTATAAAGTTAAACTTTAGTGTCAAAAACAAAGAGAAAAACACATACAGTGCAGAAACATAGCCATCATTTGAGCAAGTAATCATCCTCCAACTGCAAGGATCTACAGAGTTAACATCCCAATTCTCAAGAACATTATAAGGATCCTTCAGTTGAGTTTTTATGGCCATTAGAGCTACAACTGCAAGGATTTTAAACAAACATAAAATATATATAAAAAATTAAAATTATGAATTTACTAACAGAAAGAAGGAATTTCAGAAGAATTTCCAGAAAATGAACTGCACAGATTGATAATGATACATGTATTAAATGAAGTGCCAAATATTTTTGTGGCCCATACAAAAATTAGGTAGAAAACTAGGATTGAATTTATTTCTCAACCTCAAATTGAAGATTAACAAATTACAACATATATACATTAATGAACAGAATCTCACTTTAAAACATAAATTTTCATAGGACAGCAGCAACAGCAACAACAATTAAGAAATAGAAAGAAAGTGAAAAATAAGAAATAGTAGAAAGAAATAAAAAGAAAAGGGATGAACTAACCTTCAAAGTTGACACCAGTAGGTGAGAGAGTAGCAGTAACAGCACCCACCAAAATCAGGAAAAACAATCCTACTGAAATTTGCAAAGAAAAGCCCATTTTCAATGTTCTTGCATTCAGATGATCCAGCAGTCTTCAAATGTGCAAACCCACTTAAAAAAATTTCATTTCTTTCTTTTCTGACAAAAATTGAAAATCACTTTCCTAAAAAATAGGATTTTCAGGACTTATCCAAATCCAAACCCCACTTATTTACCCAAATAAAAAGGTGGCCTCAAAATTAGAATCCCAGAAAATCAACCATCATTGCCAAGAAAAGAAAGAAATAGCCCAAATTATTTGAAAAAGATGTGATTTTTACCCTTTTTTCTGAACAAAAAAAAAAATACAGTATGATTTTTTTACTGCACAATGAAATACACCCAGATGCTTAAAAATCTCTATTTCAAGCAATTCTCACTGTTAAAAGTCAGAAATTGGGTAAATATCAGAACCCACTTGAAGAAGAAAGAAAGAAGATGAAACAAAACACAACAAAGAGGATGAGCATAAATTTTTTGAGAAGAACAAGGAAATAATACTGTGAAATTCTGAAAGATCCTAGAGATCTGGGGCACTCCAAAAAAATAAAAATTTAGGGAAAATAAAATTTGAAAATTCTGTGAGTATTTTGCTATCCAAAAATGATAAATAGAAACTGATCCCCACAAAATTCCATATAAAATTGTGTAATTTGGGGTTTAGCTAGGAGCCTAGTTTTGAATCAAAGTGATTCCCAATTTCATACCACCATTTTATCTTGTTTTTGTAAAATTCTCTCTCCTCTGAAATAAGCAAGCAAATAGGATCAAAATCAGTGTGGCCTTCCACTGATTTTGCAGAAACAACCAAAGAACCAAAACCCACAAACATACTGCCAAAACGAGGGGGACATATGCTTATAAAAAGTGAGGGAAATTGGAGTACTGTTATTTTTCTTTTTAATTTATGGGATTATTATATTAATTTTGTTTTTTTTTTTTTTTTTTTGACAATATATTAATTTTGTTACTCTGTATAAATGTATAATGCTAAGTGCCATATTGGTATTATGTATGTGTTAGATGAGGTGATGATTAACCCTTAGCGCATAGCTAATCATTAGCTCTTATGGGTTTAGCAAACATATCGTATGAAAAATGTACCATTACATGCATAATAGGTGATACGGTGGTAAATATTTTAGGGGAAAATGTTCAATGTATATGATGGTAAAAAGTATCACTACATGCATAATATTACACAAAAAGTACTATTCAGACAAAAAGTACCACTAAATGCAATACATAGCCCTTAAGGCTACATATAAGCATTAAAAATACTCTTGAAAACTATTTAAATTTAGAAAATCATGACGAATTCACACTTATTACATTGATCTACGCGTGTTTTTGTCATGAATTCCTAATTTTATACAATTACAAGAGTGCTTTTAATGCTTATATACAGCCCTAAAGGCTATATTTTAATAGTACATTATATATACATGCATAATGGTACATTATAATGTACCACTGTAGAGTGAACTTTTTCCAAAAGCTTGTCAAATTTACAATTTTACCCTCCTATATGTTTTAGGAGTTATGCGCCTAGTTGCACTCGAGGTCGATTACCTCAATCTCATGTCTTAAATATTATTCCCTCCGTTTTATAATAATCGTAACACTTTAACCAATATATATGTTAATGCACAACTTTAATCATTAATATTTGTAATTATATATTGCTAAGGATTTGTAAAAACTTGATCTAATGAAAATATAAATAAAGACTAACCTAAAAATATATGTAGTATATGGTAATATTACTAATATATGCATTTAAAAAAAATCAAACTAGTAAATACTCCCTCTGTCTCATTACAGATGACGCATTCAAACATTGCACACATACCAATGCACTAGTTTGACTTTATTTTTATATAATTATATATTAATGAAAATTATATTATGCAACTTTCTATTAAAACCTATCTAACCATATATTTTATAATAAAATATATTTTTATCATGTTAATAAAAAATTATGGTAAAACCTAATACATGAATAGTAACATCACATGTATTGGGACGGGAGAGTGGGAGTGAGGGGTAGCTCAAGTGGTTAGAGTTCCCCTCCCGATTCCAATAGATTTTGGGATCGATTCTCATTACCCGCCCTTGTGGCTCTCTAAACACCAAAAAAAATAAAAAAAAATATGGGACGGGAGAGTATATAAATAGTGTAAAAGTCAAAGTGTTGTGATTATTACGAAACGAGAGGGTACTCAATACTTGTATTTGGACCAATTAGATATGAATTATACTACGAGTGTGCTTATGATAATTGACATTTAGGGCCTTACTATATACGCCCTCCGATTTGTTTTTTTTTAATGCATGAGTTCCTTTTTATGGGTGGTTTTTTAAATGTAGCACTTCTATATTTGATAATTTTATACTTTATATCATTTTTTACTTTCCCAAGGTCCCTACTTAAATAATAATATTCTCTCACATAATTTTTCTTTCTTGGTTTCATCTTATTTTAACAACTCTTTATAATAAATTATTTAGCCATTCACAATATTATACGAACTAATACTCTTCTAAAACTCCGCACATTACCAAGTAATCCAATTTAAAAAATGGAGATATTCTATGGATAAAAAATTCCAATCTAAATTTTCAAAGTTTTTTTTTACACATAAATTTTCAAAGATCAATTCAACAAAGTATACTAGTATAAGAATAATACACTACGTATGAATAATGTATGATGATACATGACATCCAACTAAATACTCCGTAATAAATACGAGTACTACTCCGTTATGCTTAATATTGTTATTCTTAATTTCTTATTTATTGTTGGGAGTACTTTAAATAATTATTCGTATTCATAATAAAGTTTTTGTTAGGACAACAGAATGATTCTGTGTTATAAAAAAGTTTAAGGGAAAACAATAAAATAGGGTGATTGGATTGAGGGGATGTATGGGTTATTTAACAGAAAATTAGCAGAGAGAACAATTAGATGTCTAGTGAGTTAGAAAATTACGAGTAAAATAAATTTTATAAAAATACTGTACTTTGGTACAAAAAAAATCTTACAGAAAAGGTATTTTAGCAGATCACGTGCTTGAGTTGTCTATAGGAATTGTTGGCTTTTGGTGCCAAAAATTTTATTTTACTCCTAATAATCTCCTATACATGTGTTGGCCATGAACCTACGTGGGTCACACATATAAAAGTGTTAAAATTTGACTCGAATAACTTGGGCCACTTGGCTTAAAACTGTTATTTCCTCCGTATATTTTTAAGTGTTACAGTTTGACTGGTATATAGTTTTAGGCAATTTAATTGACATAAATAAAATAAAAGGTAAGTAAGGTAGTTGGAATATTAAAAAATTGTAAAAGAAAAATAGTAGGGTTAATAGTTAATTGAAAAGTAATGAATGAGAGGAAAAATATAATAAAAAAAAATAAGTAATGGGTTTGGGTGGGGACCATGAGAGGAGAGAGATATAATTTTTTAATATAGTTTTTTGCCAAAAAAAAAGTGTAACACTTATTAAAACACAACCGAATTTGGTAAGTGTAACACTTATTAAAGCACGGAAGGAGTATTGCAAAAAAAAAAGGGAAATTTGCAAATTACAGCCCATTTAAGTTTGTAATTTTGCAAATTGTAGCCATTTAAAAAAAAGTGCAAATTGTAGCCTAAAAGTTTGTATAAATTGTAAATTGCAGCCTAATTTAACCTTTTTATCGGTTTACATGTCGAAAAATCTTTGATTGAGGTTTTACGGGCTATTTTAGCTTTTTGGGGTTCGAATTAAGCTCAGAATTAGCAAAAAAAAATAACGCAAGTGCCTCGTTTTGTGTAACAAAAATGTATCGATTTGTGGAAAACTGTAAAAAGAGACACTTACGTTATTTTTTGCTAATTCCGAGCTCAATTTGGACCCCTAAGAGCTAAAATGACCCCTAAAACCTTAACCGAATATTTTTCGCATGTAAACCTATGAAAAAGTTGAATCAGGCTGCAACTTACAATATATACGAACTTTTTTACTGCAATTTGCAATTTTTTTTAAATGGCTGCAATTTGCAAAATACGAACTTTAAATGGCTGCAATTTGCAAATTTTCCAAAAAAAAAAAAGTATTATACTTCCTTCGTTTTTTTTAAATACCTCTTAGTAACATGACAGATATGATTAATAATATTTTTAATTATCATTAATTATAAATTATACTCTGTAATAATTGAATATTAATTATCTACTCAAGCTCTATTCTTTTGATCTTCTAAGCAAAGCAAGGATTAGCAGAGCTGAACAGGGCTTCCAACATACTATAGAGCAAAGCAGATTTAAGTTGAGCCGGGAAGAACACAGTAGGACATAGCAGAGCAAGACATGGCATAGCATAGCAGATTTCTACAAAGTAGAGAAAAACAGCTTAAAAGAGCAGAACCTCGTTGAGATGATTCTAACAAATATCTAAAATACTATATTTTTCTTATGTATAATTCACAATATTGGTCAAAATATATTTAGTAAATAGTATTAAAATCCTCAATGGAGCACTTAAAAAATAAAAAATAAAATAAAAAGGCACAATCACACAATAATTTAGCAAGAGTGCACGAATCAAATTTAAAATAGACCTAAGCCAACTAAATGTCATGATATATAGAGTATAAAACATATTCCTGAATCTTAACCATCATCTTAACCTTTTGATTAAGATGGTCCATTAAGGGCCTGTTTTTATTGACTGAACTCAGCTGAATTGAAATGAATATTTTACAAGAGGAGGAAATTAGGAGCTCAGCTGAACTGAACTGAATTGAGCTGAACTAAACTGAACTGAACTGAATTTCAACATAAGAGAACATGCCTAACATGATATCAGAGTCAATGTGACACAAAGGTCACGGGTTCGAATCTCATCCACCCCTCCTTTATAAGGGGGCGTGATAGAGTATAAAACACATTATTAGACCTCAAACATTAGCTTAAACTTTTGGTTGAGATGATGCTCTAATCTAACATATCAGAATTCACCCCTTTCACACTCCACCAACTATACTATAAAATGAATTTTTAGAGTATATGTTAGAATGTTTTTGATGCTTTTTCAAAAAAGAAAAAAAAAAAAAAAAAGAAGATGTTTTTGATGCAAAATACTCATACTATGAGTCTATGACACCTCTCACACTCCTCTTAAAATAACTATGAAGTAGTTAATTTTTATAGCAACTACTCTCTTATACAACTCATAACTATTTAGTTTCTTTTTTGAAAGCAAAATTTGTTAATTTATAGCACTGCTAATTCTATGAAAATTTTACCCAACAAATGTTTTTTTAATTTAACGGTCAATTTAATGCTTAAATAAATTCTTATGTCGGAAGTATTTTATTACATTTCTTTTTATGTAAATAGTTTCATTGTTCAATACTCACTAAATTAAACTAATGGCAGTTGACCTGATACCAATATACCATACATTGAGTACAACACAAAAAAAAAAAAAAAAAAAAAAAAAAAAAAGAAACAATATAGCAAGTGTAACATATATTCTCTTCAATAATATAGTGCTCGATTTACTTCAAAGTCACCACTAGCCATATTGTACATGATAATGGAGCATATTTGATTGTATTCCCTTTGACATTCTTCTATAATAACATACATTTCATCAATACATCTTTTTATGCTTATAAATGATACACTAATTGATAGGTGATTGTGAATTGTCATGGTAGAGGCAAATTCAAGTCTCACGTGAAAAGAAAGGAAAAGAAATTTTCCTAGTAGAAACACACTTCATTAGTATGAGATTTTTTGGGTTCGAAGTCTAAAAACAATTCCGTGCAGGACAAGCTTCAAAGCGAACTATATTACCAAGATTTAGGCCCTGTTTAGTTCGCCTTATATTTGCTTATCTGATCTGGTCTAGTCTGGTCTGATCTGGTCTGGTCTGGTCTAGTCTGATCTTATCTGATATGAATGTCAAATTTGACCTTAAATATACGATAATCTATACGGAAAAAATATATCAAGTGGAGTCTTGTTAAATTCGTAATAACGTGTACTTTATTAATATGTTATTTTCATAATTTTTTATTACGAAATT